GGTGACTGCTGCAGCAGACCAGAGCCTGGCTTTCCCCCTGCTGCCTGCTTGCTGCAGGCTTGTGGGGGAGGGGGAGCTGCTCCCCACCACTGTGCAAATTCTCTGGGGGGCAGTAGGGACCCGTGTCCCCCAGATCAGTGCATGGGGTGAGGTGGGCTGCCCACTGTAGGCTCAGGCTCCCATCCTGGTGCCCTCACTTGGGGCCTCTGCAGACCACCAGATGCAACCTGGTGCTGCAGGGAACAGGGGGGGTTGTACAGGGATCTCTTTGCCACTGCAAACTCCACACGGCCCTGGCACGGTGTCCCCTGCCAGCATGGCAGCAGCAGGAGCAGTGGTAGTGCAGGGCTGTGCCCCTCACTGCTGTCATGCGCACTGAGGACGTGCCGCCAGAGCAGCGCAGAGATCACATTGGTAAGAGGCTTTTCTGCATGGCCCCACTGTGCCCTGGAGTGCTGGGTCGCACCAGCTGGGCTGTGGAGGCCTCGGGGGAGGGCAGCAGAGGGAACACCAGTCTGCAGTGCAGTGGGCAGCCTGTGCCCAGGCCCACCTTCACTCTGCACATGGATCTAGGGGGCACAGGTCCCCCCATCCCCTGGGAATGTGCGCAGTGGTGTGGAACTGGCCCCATCCTGCCAACCCCTTGGACGAGCTGCCCATGGACCCCGTCCTGCCTTGTCAGGGCCCAAGCCCCACTTAGCGCCCAGCTGGGCAGCAGCCCCAGCTCTGCCCAACTCCCTCCCTCTGTTCCCCTCCCCCACCTCCATTTACCTGCAGGAGCTGCTGTCCAGACTGCCTGGCGGCCAGATGCATGGGTGAGCGCACATGTGCACTAGGTGCCCCCTGCCTGACTGCCCTCCTCCTGCTCCCTCCCAGTCCCTCGCAGGCCAGAACCCTGCCAGCTTGCAGAGAGCTTTTTGCAAAACAGCAAAATCCGCAGGTTTCTCCCGAAGCTATTACTCGAGATATTTTTTCCAACATGACGTAATATCATTAATTGTACTGTTCAACCCGTTCACAATATATATCTCTAGAGGACTGCTTTCGATAGTCACTGGGAGAGCAATGCCGATTCCAGCAGACTCCTGGCCAATCCAGGAGGGTTGGCAACCCTACCATTAGGTGGTTTATAGGAGATTAAGAATTGGACAGAGTCTCTACCTAGTTCTTGAGGACAAGTCCCTACATCAGTGCCCATATTTGGTTCTTAGGGTGGGACTTCAGATGTATTAGCTTTCATGGGTCTCCCACTCTTTGGGCTCTCTGCTAAGTGAATGGTGGAAAATATATGTTCACATCTGATGGTTCAGATACTAAAACAAATTTTGATTTGAGCATATTCCTGACTACGTAGTGTTTGTTCTTTGCAAACGTGAATATTTGATCTTTAGTAGCACTAGTACTCTGAAAAAGCAAATGTCAAGTTTGAATATTCTTAGAAAGCCTGTTTTCACTTGGTTGTAGAAGAATTGCTTTGTGCTTTCAAGGGGAAGACCCTGCAGCATAGGAAACAG